TCAGTCCGCCCCTATCGGCCCTCGGAATTCCGTCCGCATCAGAAGGCTCGCAGTGCCGACGCAGCTCCAAGCGCTGCAGGGACGGGCTCAGCCCGAGCACCGCGTTCATCTCCGCTCCGGACAGCACGGCCGGACCCCGCGGCGCAGCCCCGCGAGATGCACGCACGGCGCTGCGCTCCGTCAGGGAGCCGCGCTGCTCCCACCGCCAGCCGCGTCATCCGCAATCCGCCGCCGTAATAGGCTTTGTCTGGTACGGGGCAAACCCCATTAGGCATGAAAAGGCAGAGCTACGGAAAGGAGCCGGCACTGACAGCCTGCTTAATGGGGAGGGTTCTGCAGGACAGTGGGACTCAGCTGGTTTGGAAAAAATACACCATGCAGACACACGCGTTATATATATTTTTTTTCTCTCTCTCTCTTTTATTTATTTTTTGTGTGTGTGTGTGTGTGAGGGTAAAAATAGGATCTCAGTTTGCTGAATATATTCTTAGCTGCTGTGCGCTATCATTCACTGCTAGCTTTACAACTGTTGTCCTGTCTGCCTTGGCCCAACCCCATGGAATAACCTCCACGTCTTTTGCCGCTTCTTGCAATCCTTTGCACAGAATTACATCATATAAACAAATGATCTGGGGCCAGCAGCAGTTCTAAATGCAAGCAGGCAGCTGCACGTGTAGAAGCTGGTACAGCTGTGCAGGAGGTGCTCAGCACTGCCTCAGATCTACCAGGCTGGGATGTTCTGCTGGGATGGGACAGGAGGGAACGACAAAGCAATGCTGGGCAGTTACAGATGGACAGTGTAAATATTTAAGCATCCCATGCTGGCGTGCAGAATGTAAGGCAGGCAGCTTTTGCACTTGTAATTTCTTTAAAATCTTTTCGTTTTCTTTTTACTAAGACCCACAGATAACGGAAACTCGGGTTTTGCTGAGCAAATGGAACATGTGTGCTTGAGCCTGGCCACAGCTCCAGGTCATCATGAGAGGCTTGAGCAAAGGGTCTTCAAGGCTCATTTCTGTGCCTGCAGACCTTGTGACAGACACTGCACACAGCCGGTGTTGTTAAGATTAGGACTGCAATTATTTTTTGCTGATTTGGTCAGCTTGAGCTTTTCTAGTGGAATTTCTCTAGAGGGCAGTAAGGATTCAAAGCAGCCTCAGTGCGTAAGTGTCTGTATATAAATTTGGTAGAAATGACAGATCATCTTTGCACAGCAGTAAAGGTTACAAGAGTGGGTGCACATGTAGGGTAGAGCAGCTAAAAGCACATAAAGCGTACTGTACACTCTTCCTTCTCATAGCATCACCCAGGATGATATTTCATTGCACATTTGTATTCTAAATTACTTAAAGTATTTTGCTTTTAATCTTGTTGCGAAAGGGCCTTTCTGTTAGAGAAGATTCAGTTCGGGTTAGTGGAGGGCATAGTAACAGGGATACAAATTGGAAAAATGAGCCAAGGGTCCGTGTGAAACCCTTTGATTAACACCCTGGAGGGCTGAGACAAGAATTTCTTCTGCGACTCCTACCTATTACTTCCAGAAAACTGAGGATACAAGAGCTGGAGCGAGGTCACAGTGCAGCACACGTGCTCATTCTCTGGCTGCAGTGTGGTTGAGCAAGCTCAGGTTCAATGGGACACAGGGACACAGGCCATGCTGCAGGGCAGGTGGCCGGAAAAAGTGATCAGCAATTATATTCCAGCCAATACCTGATAATGTGGTGTCCCTGCTTACATTGAAATTTAAGCTGTTTATTAGGCTTGGCGATGCCATGAATGACAAAAGATCTTTGTGTGATCCTATAATATCTTTATGTAATGTAATAGAAGCTCTCTCGGTTCCAGGGTATTAACCATTTATCGTTGATTTTAAATAGGGCAGGTGTGGTTGAATTCCAGCCACGCTGTGTTCAGCCAGATGCAGGCAGGCTCACATTTCTGCAGGTGCCTGTTCCACTGATACAGTGAGACATAAGGCTCAGAGACACCAGAGGTACAAGCAGAGAGATAAGCTCTGAGATCCAGTTGTCTACAGTGCCAAAGAAAACACCCCTAAAATCTGAGTTCAGCTTGGTGTGCAGACTTGGAGAACTGAGCAGAAAATGTAATTTATGATCCAGTCATTCAGGGAGCCACTGGATTTCTTATCTGTTACAGCAGTGAGGTTGCCCAGATCCACTTTACTCATGAGTTTACAACAGCGGCTGCTGCTGCTGGATACTTTCTATTAATGCTTCACATTCATACAGGCTCCCTGCTCCCGGCAGCACCTCTACACCCTCAGCTGCTTACAGCAGGGCTGCTCACGCTGCCACTCACAGCCCACCAAGGAGCACACCGTGTGCTGCTGGCAGCGACTGCACAGCTCGGAGCGGCTCTGGCAGTGGGGAGCAGCCTCTGTGCAGCACGGAGTGGTGCCCACATGGCCCTCGTGTGCAGCCACGTTTGAGAACGTATATGTATTTGTGCAGCATCATCAACATGTGGGCAAGTGCTATGCCAAAATTAAAGTTTGGGGCAGAAGTATCAAGGCTAGCCTGGGCACTTCAAATCGACAACCAAAGTGCAACCTTTCAAAGCAACTGAAAATTAGAATGGTATGAACAATGTGAGAGTGGGCTAGATTTTATTGTGAGATTATATTTTTAAGGAATACTAAATTTAGGATCTAAAGATGTTCATACTTGAATATATTTAAATAATTAGTCTGTAAAATATTCATCCTACAATCTGTATTCTTGCTTTTCAGGTGTCTTAGCATCCAACAAATCCGTATTCCTGACCTTAAAAAGAATGTTTCTTGCCTGAAACAAATTTAAACAATAATGTAAGATGCCATAAAACCTGAAACCACTTATGTCAAGTCAACAGGAGATTCCGTCACGATAATTCCTTCCTCGCTTACAAAACAGCTTGGAGTCTGGCTCGGCTTCACCCAGCACCTTCACCTCTTCTTTCCTGTCCTGCTCCTGCTGGTGCAGCGCCCTGCCCTGGGCTGTGCTGTGGGGTTACCAGATGCCTGGGCACCCCTCAGCCCTGCTGACAGCCGTGCTGGTGCAGGCAGCACTGCACTTGTTGGGCCGCTCTGAAGATCTGATCCCCAGGGAAAGCAGCCCAGGTTGAGTCACCCATGTGTCACCTCAGTGGTCACAGGTGCTTGGTCCTGGCGGCGATGTGAGGAATGTTTTCCTGAGCCAAGGCCATGTCTTACAGGTTCACTTAACACAGACACTGCTCTAGGATCTTCATGAAGGATGGTTGCCAGCCCTGTGTTTGGCTCTCAGTAGGGCACCGAAGGCAACAGCTGAGCAGTGGTGAGAAAACCCATCCCCTCCTCACCTATGGTGCTGTGTGTGATGAGATCCTTGCTGAGCATTTACTTCAGAAGTACTCAGGTAGCTTTCACTCCACTGTTAGGTTGTTTGGTACAAGCACTGAGGCTCATAAAGAGAAGTACGCCTTCAAAAGAGGAATATCTGCCTAAAACAGATCTATTTCAAAGCCAGTGGCCCAAAAGCAATTGATGTTTGGGGTCCTCAATATAATTCAAACCACGCTCTCCCTCAGAAAAAGCTTTTAGTTAAGGGGCTATGATTTTAAAAGGCTTTATACCCCACATGTGCACTATGGATCATGGAACTGGGAAGCAGTAAAAGCTGAATACAGCTAGTATAGTAGGGACTGACAGCATTATGACTTTTATCAGTTGTAGGATAAATAAGTCCAGTCTTAGTAAGACAGTTAAGCCAATATGACCATGCTGCTACGCTAAAGATTTATGGCGCACCGTCCACCCTATAAAGCAATTGTTCAGAAACCAAGGGCTCTAAAATCCTTGTTCGGACAAGTCGTCCTTGTTCCAAGTTCCACTGAGCTCCCTTCCCATTAGCTAGAGCAATCTTCCCAAAAAGTACCAGAGAAGTAAACAGAGTATATGAGGTGCAGGCCAACAAACGCAGCCTTTCATGCACAGTCCAGCTTGCCTTGCAGGAGCATCTGGAACAAGAAGCCAAACATCAGGAATTCATCATCTGGAAGATACCAGCAGAGCAGACCTGGAGCAGCTTACTCTTGGCTCAACTGGCGACATCTTCTATTGCCCATGCCAGAGTTCCCCCATCTAACGACTAAACAGATAAAGCTACTTTCCAAATCCCTTTCATATCAGTAAATGAAAGACACAGATGCCAAGTGTCATAACGAAAATATTTTTGTGGGTTATTCGGAATTATTGGGAAACCCATACTGGACACTGCTCCTGGAATGCTATTTCAGTTGTTCTTTTCCAGCAAGAGTACTTTTCTCCAAAAACATAAAGGCCTGAAAGGATGAAGTAGATCAGACTTAGTGGCTCAGGATCAGTCAGTTGCTCTTAGTGCAGTTAGAAGGAGTTGAAGGGAAGATGGGTGGTTTCAGGAAGATACCTATGGGGAGATGTGTGCCAGGATTCAAGCCTGGTGATTCATAAGCTGTTCGTCAGTAGCTGTTAAATATCTGCTTTTTGCCAACGCTCACTGTTTCAGTCTGCCAAAGATACTGGATAAACAGTCGCTGTTAAAAATTTATAGTTACTCTGGGGAAAACAAAAGCTTTCTGTGGCATAATGCAACATCATAAATTAAAACTTTTTTTTTTTAAATTAAGAAGTTACATCATGTTTTGATGTAATGTGATGTGGCAGGTCATGCTTTTAATTTTAATAAGCTTAAAAAAGAGAGAGAGAGAAAGAGAGAGAGATTTGGGAATATAAATATTGCTTCTGAACCTCTAACATCTCCTGGTGGAGGCTAGCAAAGCAGGTTCACCTCTGCCACCCGGGTTCAAGTCTTATTTCAGAAAAACAATTTGAAATGACTTCTGGAGGTATCAGCATCAGTTAATGAACTGAATTTCCACTCCACAGACCTTTCAGGAAATTGCCAAACAGCATTAGCACTCCTATTGTATTTGTCATACTTAGGAATTGCTGCACTTTGAAAGCGCTGTCATCTCCAGCTTACCTTGTTAGAGGCACCTTGTAACATCCAAGCATCTTCAATTAAAAAAAGGCACCTGGGAGAGCCAGGAGTGTGTTTCAGTGGTGCTTGAAGTCAGTTCCCACTGATTTCAGGAGCAGCCGCAGCACTCCAAGTGCATCTCTGAATAGCCAGTCCTTAAGCAGAGGAATCTCATTTTGGACTTCAGAACTGAGACCCATCAGATGAGCAGTCAGTCACTCCAAGCAGCGGCAGCTCTTTTTGGCATCGTGTGGTTATGACAGAGCAGAATTCATGTATTCACGTATCTTTAAACTGGTGTGAGCTTTCTGCACATCTCAGACGAGGCCTGCAATGTGGAACACAGAAGTGATAAAGTTTAGGTTCTCTTTTCCAGAAAAAAAATTCTCTTTTGATGTTTATGCATGAGCCAGCACAAAGGGATGCGAGCCTTGATTTGAACCCCTGGAAAAACCCTGATGGAAAGAGTCATACGTACCACAGGACCACCACAGAGGGGAAACAGTTTTCTATTCAGCACGTAACCTCCTGAATCTTACTTTTTTAATATTATTATTTTTTCTACAGCTCAGTCCTGACCAGAGCCCTGCATTTATTTAGTCATATCTGACAGAACGTTACTCGATGGCCCCTGCTCATTTCTCACTGACATGCTCTGACTTGGCCATATGTGATTCTCGGAGGGCGATTGCCCTCGTGGCACGTTGGCTTTGGCTGCGGAGGAATCCTGGAGCTCTCACTGCCTCCGCTGGCAGAATGTTGGCACTTTCTGGAGAAGTCTTGCATAAGCCTTGGGAGAACGAAATAGGAAATGACTACTGTAACGCAGCTGAGTAATGCGGTTCATTTCGAACTGCTCTGACAACCACCTCACCCTCTGCTCAGCCCAAAGTAATTGTTAGGGGCTGTTTAGGTCCGTTCCCTTTCATTCTTCTTTTCTGACTTGCTTTTTTTTCAGTTCTCTTATTTGTTTTACAAATAGTTTATTTTTCCATCCTGACTCTCATCTGTATACTTTTAATCACATTCAGAATAGAGGAGCAAGGGTGACCCATTGTCCTCACAAGTGACATCTAGTCTCTGACTTGACTGACAGGAGGTACCATTAGAATAAGCATCCCTTCCCTGACAGAGGCTATCCATGTTAACATTTCTGTTCTCTGGGCTATATATTTGATCTTACATAGCTGTAAATTATGAGTGACTCCATCAAAGTCAGAGGCATTGCTCCAGAGCTAACATGGTGTAGGTCAGCTCAGATTCATGCTTTGGGGATTTCAGACGTCTCGCTGGGGCTCCTGTTGCATTGCTGGTCACTTCTCTCATTCAGCTTTGTACGTGCCTAGAGTAAGTTGGCAAGAGTGCCCAATACAAGTGCTTATCACACGAGTCATTGCCTTGAATTTCCTGAAGATCAGGTTCACGCTGGTATTTGAACTTGGTTACAGAGACAGAAACGTACAGCACATTACTGTACCGTAAGTCATATCAGGGCAATATCAAAACAGAGTAAAAGTTAAACAGAATGTCTGAAATCATTTCTCTGTGTACACAGAGTACATCTCCTTGGGGTAAAACTGATCTTTCAATTCAGAGTGCACATGGAAAGTAAACTACTGGAGACAGAGAAAGTTCAACATCATCAACTGAAGAGAACTGGACGAGATTGAACTTGAGACAGTTAAACTGTAAATAAGAAAAAGATTTTGCCTTCAACTCCACAATTTTACACTCATATTCTATGAATGTTTCCAGCACTGGCAATTTTTCTACATCAGAGACGAGCTCAGAATGTTAGAGGAAAGCTGTGTGGCAAAGGACAAGGAATGCAGAGTTTGACTCATGTGAGAAGGAATGCGCTCACCAGGAATAACGTTTACAAAACTCATTTCAGGAGGTTCAAAACCACAGTGAGATCAAAAGGTGCGTGATCAGCACAACTGGGAAAGCAGAGCAGAAATTGGTGTTGGGAAAGTAGGAAGGGCCAGAGGTGGGCGAGTGCAGAAGGCTCTTTGTAACTGATAGAAAACAGAAAAAGGGGTTTTAAGAACTTCGTACTTTGTATTCTCTTAGATAACGAGAACATAAAACGTCTGGTTCTCATCTTTTTTACACTTATGTAAAATTAGGATCAACTCAACAAGTTAATGGAGTTACATGGGTTTAAATCTGGCATAAGTGAGATAAGAAACAGGCCCATCAGTTCATTAAGGACTTCATTAACTGTGACTGGAATATCTTGCAGTGCCTGTGTTCCTGCAAATAAAAACATGCATTTGAGGCCACAGGAAGGTATTCTGCATGCCCTGATGTGTATGCATCCAACCAGCCGCCTGTTTCAAAGTCAGAAGCTAGAGGGCTCTGTATAGTTGCATCTCGTGTGGGTGAATATGTACAATACTTGTGCAATAGTGGGACTTGTGCAACAAGAGAGATGCACACCCAGGTGGGGCTCACCTGTCATCAGCAACAGGCTGGGTGCAGAAAAGTGGGCACAGGTCTGAGTGCACACAAGACCTCCCATTTAATTCAACTTCGTTGTGGCTTATTGGCTTACAGAATTATCCTGTTTATGTTTATCTCACTTACAAATAAGTTAAATATATAACTACATTCCACTCTGCTCTGCTTTCTGCCAAGGATATGCTTATGGTCTTATGATGCTACTCAACCCACTCTATACCAATTTTACTTAAACATCAAAATAAAAGGATATTAAAAACTCGGTCCCCAGGAAGGATCTGGAAAGCAAGGGAACAAGCAGCTCCCTCAAAGATCTCATTCCTCTGCATGATTGATGGGCTCCATTACTTTGACTTTGCTGTTTGATCAAATGGTAAATCATGTAAATATACCGTGCGTGAGAGTCAGAGCAGTTTGAAAGAACTGAAAATTTTTGTTTAAGTTATAGGTCAAGCAGCAATTTCCCAGAACAGCCCATCATGGAAGCAAAGATTTTCTTCCTTTTAAGCACACATCAGACCAATCTAATTTACTAGGGAGAAAATTCACTTTAGTGCAGAAGGACAATCCAGATGTATACACTATTTACGCCCTTGTTAAGTGAAAATTGGGATAAGTGGTACTAAGTGGGTGCATAGATCTTAAGCTTGTCCTCTTCAATTGGGTGAGTTTTACCCTTAATAAGAAGTATAAGTAGAGCATCAGTGTTGTCTAGATTCTTATGAGAACCATTAGCACACAGCTGAGATTCACCATAAAGATGCAGTAGAAAGTGTAAATTAATCGAGTGCTATTTTACCAGCTATATACTTCTCATGTAGTGCTTCTCACGTGTAAGCTGTGGACTCTATTATGTCTTGCCCAAATTATGCTGAATGAGAGGTTTTGAATTCATTTCTATCATTTCTACATGGGCTTTCCTTATGCATTTCTGCTCAATTTCTGCTATTTCTTCTGCTGAAAATTTATCATATCACAAAGGAATGCTGCAGACTATTTAGTCTTGTGTGACTTGCTACATTTGTCCTTGGAAAGGTCTACATCAACAGAACGCAGAGGAAGGCGAATGAAGCTCAGCAAAGCACATTCAGTACAAGCACTCAAAGCAAACTGGACCACAGCCACAGTTCCTGCAGTCACTGAAGGACTGAACGATAACCGTGATACACAAGCTGGGAATGAAAGGGGATTCCAAATATGTCTGAGGTAGGGAGAGCATCAGAGGACAGCTTGGCTGGGATTTTCAGCCATCTCTACAAAGGTGAGCACTGCTGTGCTGCACTGAGCAACATAACAGCTATTTCACCAAACACTTCTGAATTATTTAAACAACGTAGAGTTAAACCAGTAAAAAGAAACTGATTAGCAGGATAGGAATCACTATGATATTGAGGACCAAAATGTAGAGGGAAAACTGATGGGATCTGTATCAGTTTGATTTTCAGTTATTTATGTATTCAGGCACTCTGTTCTAGTTTTCCTATTTTGGGTTCTAACACTTGTTTGCCAGTTTGACTTGGTGCACATAAATCCCATGTAACTGACAAGACTGAGGTTCCTTACGTATGAGTGCCTCCTTCACATAACCCAAGCTGAGGGGTCAAGGCCCAATTCTCTGGTTCCCAAGGTACATTACTTCTATTATTCAGACAGCTTTAACTCTCCTGAAACGGGCTGGATTTCTGCAATGAAGGACGATGCCAGAGAACGCACAACATCAGCTAGAGGACCTGTGTCCTGGAGAGGAAGGACCCGAGTCCTTCAGTGATGGCTGCAGTGCAGTTCCCACAAAACTGAGGGCTGACCGACTGCTCCTCTCAGCGTGGTGGCATTTCTGCTTCCTAGAGACTGTCACTCCTACCATCTCATTCCCAACCTCCAAGCCTCAGGGTGATACGGAAGGAAAACACTCTAAGTATCCTGAGAGCATTTCATGAGATGTTCTCAAGTAGGCAGCTTGAATTGCTAATTAAACTTGGAAGACTCTCTTTTCCTGTTTTCTCTTTTTTTTCAGCTTGACCCCAAATCAGCTTTATCTCTGGTTCAAAAAGCCTCCCTGTCCCAGGGAAATGTAAATGACACCTCCATGTGTCTTAGTGATTTTGGCTCATGCCCTAATGCCAGCCACATCATTGCTTTGTACATCAAAAGAACGCTCTCTGACACAGACATTGGTTTACCTTAGCTGGAGTGACTCATCACTTTCCCACAATTAAATTTTTGGGCTCTAATGCAAAGCAGACTTATCTGCTTTGACAGGACAGTATGGAATAAACAAAAAAGACTAAATTTGTATTGGCAGCTACCACTGCGCTGCAGTTATGAGTAATGCAGCATAACTAGAAAGGACACCAAGCACCAAGAAATCAAAATAGATTCTGTAGCTGGAGAGCCAAAAAAGAAGAAATATCTGATGATCCCCTGACTGTAACTGACTGTTCAGTATTGTATCAAGAACTCTCTGGGAACCAGAGGAAGAAAACATTTCCAGTCTTCCCTTTCCTGCTACCTTTCCCTCTCCCTCTCCCTTGCCCTAATGGAGAAAACACACAGCACAGGATCAGATGAATTCCTCCAAGCCCCCGGCCCCATGCTTCTGATGGGCTGGGCAGCAGCCAACCAGAGATGCTGGGCATGGGGACAAAACATGGAATTTTGCTTTCATGCTCTCATCACATTGCTCCATTACCACGTCTGTGCACACAGCCCAATAAACAGCACCTACAAATAAACAGAACTCCTTGGCACGTGCTTAAGCAAATTAGGCCATGATTACAGACAGTTAAAAATTTGGATTCCCAACCTTTGTACACTTCTCTTGTGATGTTCTGTAATTGCTAATCGCAGCA